CTCACCTGAAATAGCTCAAGTGACTCAGAATGTATCAATGCCTTACCAATGCATACTCTTCTTGTAATACTTCTAAAATATAGTAACCGTCTTGGAACAATTTAAAATTAAAAAAGTTTTCTAAACAGTGAGTTCAAGTGTAATCAGGGAGGACAACAATGAAGGCAAGGAGTCTCAGTAAACTACTTAGAAGAGCAAATGGAAAAATTCATGAGCTGTTCAAATGGATCAGTAAGAGCGATCAGTTACATTGTTCCATTTGGAAATATTTTCTGTAATAGACAGATCAGTTCACCTATATGATTCAATTGGACTTCTTGATGGAAGCCAGCGTTTGCTTCAACAACTTCGCAAGGCGTCTTCAACTTTAGCGCTACTTCCATTCCACGACAGACACCTTTTTCGATGATCACTGTGGAAGAACTCCTGAAAAGGACTACTGAAAAATCTAAATTTTTCTGAGAGAGGCCTAAGCAGGGTAATGCCAAGTGGAGCAGTTACTCGGCATTAGATCGAAAAACTAACTTTTGCAGTGGATAAGCAAATCCGAGTGGCCTTCCAACTTTCTAGGGTCAGGTGATTAGAATCGGACTCGTTCTGGAGGATAGTAACCCTAACTAGTACATCGAGTAACAACAGCGAGTACTGCGTACAGGCCAAGCATGCATTTAAGCGCTTCTAAGATTTTTAGTGGAAGTTGAATGAGCTGCATCCAAATGATCAATGCAAAAACTGATAATTTCTTTTTTGAATGCTTTGTAAAAGTCAAGCAGCTTGAAGTCAAAAAGGGCTTTTTAGGCAAAGTTAAGAAGTGATGTTCTGCAGTATTTCTGATCTTTTTTAAATGATCCTAACATCAACAAAATCCTCATTTTCAGTTAGCGTACCCTACAAGACGTGCAACCCCATTTTGTAACGATCTTTCGAATCAAAGTTAAGATAAAAAGATGAATAATGGACTCAAAGACATAACTGTCTCAGTAAAGAATTCCATTCCTTTTATAGAGAGGGGGAAATTCTTCACAAAGACGGCAGGCATCGTAACCTGCTAGGTTACGGAAGGAATATAATGATGACATAAAAGATATGGCAGAGTCTCGGGCAGCGTAGTTTTTTATCAAACGTGACGATAGCAGTCGAAGCTCACCTTGTACATCGTTCGGTTTTGAACGAGTATTCCTGCTCTCTTTGTGTGGTATTCGTGAACGTCGTCTTGAACAGAACCTTTTCTTCTTTAGGCTGGAATGGAATTTCATTTCGGAGATAAGACTGGTTTTATGCATACGGTCACAAATCATGAAGCTTGAAAGCTTCGTACTGCTGATCCAAAAGTACAGTTCTTCGAGGGCAGGAACGAATTGTTTGCTTGAGCTTACCCCTGTAACGTTTCCTTTAGCTCCATGAATTTCGTATTCTGGTTCCATAGATTCTTGGTAGAGCTTTGTCCAGTTTATGTTGAACTGAAAAAACGAGTATTGAAAATTCTGACATCTGACACATGCTGTGTACTGTATACCGTTTTTTGAAAAGAATTCTTTTCCCTACATTCGCTTCGGGTTCTTTTCCTACCAGGTGCCATCAAACATTTCGAATTTTATGTTCTGAACCATGCCTCGTTGGCATAGCCTCCCATCATTATTTCTTACACCAATTTCCTTTCTTACTTCACCAAATCGATTTCTACCTCCAACTGCTACAAGATTTCCCAGAATGTTATTCTCTATGTACATACTGAAGAATATGATCAGCATAAGTGCAGTCGTATGTATGAATAGGAGTGTTCAAGAATTCTATGAATTGTAAAAGACGCCATTTCGGGAAGACGATGCTCGTACAAAATTATTCAGAGAAACTAATACCAGAAAATAAGGCGGAATATTTTCACGAAATGCTCTGTCGTGTCAAAGGAGAACATAGAACTTATAGTTCGAGATCACGCAGTATCCTTTTTCGCCCAAAATATTTCGTCCTATTCTAATTTTCCTCTCTCCCTCAATAGCCAAGGGTCATGTCGACTGAATGTGTTACTGTGTAATTGATCAGCTAAAGGAACAGTTGACATTGCCAGCGGTACCACCAGAAGTATAGTTGACAGATGGGAACCCCTCCTCCAGAAACATATTCCCTTTCTTTTATCTCTAGAAGGTTGTGAAAGACACCACATACCCACTCAGTACGAAGAATCAAATCTCCCAAATTCTTGAGGCATGGGTAATA